AAAAATATCACGTGACTTTAAAATATTACCTTGTCCATTTTTTACTCCTCCAAACCTTAATCATTATCCTAAGATGAGAAGAAATTTGAACTTGAAATAATTTTTAATGAAAAAAACTTCATGGGGAAGATCTTTTCCTTTTGGAAAATGCACACATCTTTGCTCTTTTTCTTCACTACTCCATAAAGGTATTTTCGGACACGAAGATTTGATTGCTCAGATGGTAAACATCGTCCACCTCTAACATCAAGGTTGCACTCTCGAGTCACCAACTTAGTGTAGCAGTGGGAGCTCTTTAGAAACCATTTTTTAACTCATTCCTTAGGAGCTCCCACTTCCTTTTGGAAAATGCACACATCTTTGCTCTTTTTCTTCACAACTTCATAATTGTTTAACACCCATCATCCTTAGAGCACTACTCTAGGGTCTATTCGTACTAAACTCCTATCTAGGAACTCCCACCTTTTTGCTACCTTGATGACTTGAACCCGCAACTTTAAGGTTAGAGATGAAAAGTGCTTACCATCTGAGCAAGCCCCTCTTGTTGTCGAGTTGAGAATGAAAAAAGGAAAGAGCAAAAATGTTTGCATTTCCCACAAGGAAAAACATTTTCCCCATGACATTAATTTCTTCTTCTTTTAACTATCAACATAAAGTTTTATATCCTCAAAACTATAGATCCTTTATTGCACTTGTATAATTGTAGTGAGACAAGTTTAATTCGGAATTAAACTTAATTTGGTTAAAGTATAATATTGTATTTATGTGTTTTGAACCAATGCACCGGGTTCTGTCTTTTTAGTATATCATGATTGTATAATTTGGTTTTAGGTCACACATTCTATTGAGCCTTCCTGTGGAAAAGAGATAAGAATGTATGGAAGATCCATTGTTATATGAAGAAACCAACAGTTTGGTTTATCTTCATGCAACATTACTAGAAACACTACGTTTATATCGTGCAGTTCAAAATTTGTGAGGTATGTGACATGTGATGATATCCTTCGGGATGGAACGTATGTACCAGCTGGTTCGGATATCATTTTATTGTTATACTCAGTGGGAAGGATGAAGTGTGTATGGGGAGAAGATTGTTTAGAATTTAAACTAGAAAGATGGCTAAAACAATTGAAAGGCATGAAGATGGATATAAATTTGCGACAGTTGATGGTGGATCAAGAATATGCATAGCTAAATACTTAACTTATCTTGAAATGAAGTCTATAGCTTCAGCTATATTACTTCGTTACGAGTTATCTCATGTTCTTGGCTATCAAGTTACGTCAAAACTCTCTTTCACTATAGCCATGAAGAACGGCCTTAAGATCAACCTCAAACGTCATGATCTTAGTGACTTTGAGGTAATAGACTGAAAGTTTAAAACCTATATAGTTAAAAGAAATAAATGACTTTTTTGGAAAAGAATGGATTATGTTCATCTCTAAGCTCAAGATTGCATGTTCGAGTCAACAACTGAGTAGAGAAGTGGGAGCACTCAAGAACCTTTTTTTAAAAACTCATTTCCTAGGTACTCACTCCCACTTCCCTACAGAGTTGATGACTCAAACCTGCAATCTTGAGCTTAGAGATGAAGGGTGTTTACCATCTGAACACTCCTTTCTTGTGTTAGAAACTCCCCCGTCTTAATATAAACCCTCTATGGAATTGTGAAGGAAAAAAGGAAAAAAAAAAGCATTTCTCAAAGGGAAAAATCTTCACCGAAAATTTTTCTTAATTCCACAAATATCACGTGACTTTAAAATATTACCTTGTGCATTTTTTACTCCTCCAAACCTTAAATCATTATCCTAAGACCAGAAGAAAGTTGAAACTTGAAATAATTATTAATGAAAAAAACTTCATGGGGAAGATTTTTTTCCTTTTGGAAAATGCACACATCTTTGCTCTTTCCCTTCACTACTCCATAGAGGTATTTTCAGACACGAAGATTTGGTTGCTCAGATGGTAAACATTGTCCACCTCTGAGATCAAGGTTGCATGCTCGAGTCACCAACTTAGTGTAGAAGTGGGAGCTCTTTAGAAACCATTTTTTTAACTCATTCCCTAGGAGCTCTCACTTCCATACCGAGTTGGCGACTCGAACCCACAACTTTGAGCTTAGAGATGAAGGTGTTTTCCATCTGAACAACCGCCTCATGTGTTCGAAACTCCCCCATCTTAAAAGAAAAACCCTTTGTGAAATTGTGAAGGATAAAAGGAAAAGAGCATAAATATCTATCTGCAGTTCTCACAAGGAAAAAATCTTCAACATAAAGTTATTTTCTTTATGTTATTTATTTATATTCCTCTAATGCGAATTTTCAAAAGGCCGTTCAATTTTACGATTTAGAATTGATATCTTATTGTCAAAAAAGTCACACATATGTACCTTCATTGTCTAACAAAAAGAGTATATTTAGTCTTTTCATTAACAAATTCATATTTATTGAATTAAAAAAATCTTAAAATTATAATCCTTCCTTTTTTTTTCCTCTTTAAATCCCTTGTAATTAAATCAGTTACCTTAATTACTATCAAAAGTCAAGAATAAAGTTGATACTTGAGCTATATATCAGAAAAAAACTTAATGAGAAGTTTTTTTTTTCTTTTAAAAAGTGCAGATTTTTTTGCTCTTTTCCTTCACAACTCGGTAAAGGTTTCTGCGGAAATAAGAGAAGGTTGCGCAAATAATAAGCACCCTCAAGATTACGGGTTCGAGTCATCAAAGGAGCAAATACGGTGGAAGCTTTTAGGAAGGGTCGGGGTCAAAAAAGATTTCTTTGGACCAACTCCACTACTACTTAAAAACGTTAGAGGGCTCTAAGGATGAGAGCTCTTAGAGCACCAACCTCAAGTTTGCGGATTTGAATGACCAAGGAAACAAATAGATGGAAGCTCTCATGATGGAGTTAGTTCAAAGAAACCATAGAGGGCTCTAAGAATGAGAGCGATAAACGATTATGGAGTTATTTGCTCTTTTTCTTCACAACTTCATAATCGTTCACAACCATCATTGTTAGAGCACTACTCTAGGGTCTATTCGGACTAAACTCCTATCTAGGAACTTCCACCTTTTTGCTCCCTTGATGACTCGAACCCGCAACTTTAAGCTTGGAAATTAAGAATGCTTACCATCTGAGCAATCCGCTCTTGTTGTCAAGTTGTGAGTGAAAAAAGGAAAAGAGCAAAAAAGTTTGCATTTCCAACAAGGAAAAACATTTTCCCCATGACATTAATCTCTTCTTCTTTTCTTTTTTAAACTATCAACATAAAGTTTTATATCCTCAAAACTATAGATCCTTTATTGCACTTGTATAATTGTAGTGAGACAAGTTTAATCTGGAATTAAACTTAATTTGGTTAAAGTATAATTATAATAATATATAAAAGATGAAAAGGATAAGTTACTTTAATTACAATTAGAAGACAAGAATAAAGTTGAGATTGTTTCCTTTTGGAGAATGTACACTTTTTTTGCTCTTCCCCATCACAACTCCATAAAGGTATTTTCAGAGACTAAATTTAATTGCTCGGATGATAAACGCCCTTCACTTTCAACCTCAATGTTGTGTGTTCGAGACACCAACTTGGAAGGGAAGTGGGAGCTCATAGAGAGCTCCGAAGAAACCTTTTTTTCTTTTTAACTTTTTCCCTAGGAGCTCCCACTTTCTTATCAAGTTGGTGAATCGAACTAACATTGATGTACGAAGGGAACGGCGTTTACCACGCAAACAACTTCCTCTTGTGTTCGAAACTCCCTCTTGTCATAAAAATAAAACCTTTATGAAATTGTGAAGCAAAAAAGGAAAGACCAAAAAAGTCTAGCATTTCTCAGAAGGAAAAAATCTTCACCATAAATTTATTTAAAGCTAACACATATTTTTTATTGTCTAACAAAAAAAAACATTTCCTCTTTTCGTTCACATATTCATATTTACTGAATTAAAACAAACCTAAAATTAATGTTTTAAATTCAAAAAATTTACCTTACTTTAAAGAATTACCCCACCCATTTTTGGAAGTCGATGATGATGTAAATGATAATTTCATTTTAAATATTATCTCAGATATTATCATCTTTGTGTTGTTATCTTTCTCAAATAATAAATTATAATATTTTTTTTCTATATTATACTGTTTTGTTTAAATTTATTTGCAGAATTATTGAAAATTTTACTTTTTCTTAGTAATAAAATGAGAAAAAATTATAATTGACATATTGTTATTTTTCTTACTTTTTCTTATTATAAAATTGAAGATCCATGAAACTTACCTCTCGTCTCGTGCTAGGTATAACACCTCACCTTGCATCCCCGCCTCTTAAAACATTGTTCTCAACAGATTTATATGTTCCCTCAGATGATTATTGATAGATACATCACACCCCTTGGAATGTGGCTCTTCCTTGGACCTTTTTAAAGGAAGATGCTTTGTATATAGAACTGTCCTTGATATCAATAGATACATCAACAAGGGTCAGTTGGGATATGGCTAGATTCCTTTTGGTATAAATCAGTAACTAACCTCAAAGATATCAAAGTAGTTCACAGAAAATGGTCAGTTGTCCATGATATGTACCAAGTTAAATGATTGTTTCAGAAAGAAAAAAAAAAACAATCATGAATTTCATCACAGTGAATGCTTGTCCCAACTAATGTTAAGTGATTTCTTCGCATCTGCCTAAGCAGAGTTCTTCACATCTGTCAAAGTAGAGTTAACTGCAGGTTTGACTGGTGATAGGTAGCTAATGGAATAGTCGAGGATGATGTAAGTTAATCGGAACAAGCTGGTTGAAGACACCAAACCAGTGAAACTTGAATAACAGAACTAGAGTTCGATAAGTTCCACTTACCATTTTCTATCAAATCAAGCAATTTAACCAACGCAGTTTAAAATTAAGGTGGAGGGAGAGATAGAGATGTATAAGTATATGTATAAATAACAAGCAAGTACCACAAATGGCATATTTTACCCAAAGAATTCTAATACAGGGAAAATAGTTGATGCAATTTTCAAAATATATTGCACAATAAAGAGAAGCCACTGTATGCTGACTGAATCGACAGCCAAAGGCAGAAGCAAGTAATGTTTTCTCCTTGACATGAACACCATGTACAAAAACAAAAGTGATCAACAAAATTTGTCACTCATTTTATTGACAAAAGTGTTTTGTAGACTATGTGTGGTATAATGCTCAATGTCACGCTTACGACTGGGAAAAGAAGATGAATTTAAGTCATCAGGAAAGAATTAGCAATCTAGTACCGCAGCCAGTATGTCCTGCGTCTGAACCAGTTGTAATCAGGCAAATCTTGAATTGGTCCCCTTGCTGATATTGCAACATCCTACATAGGGAAAATCATATAAAAAAGATGGTTTAACCCTCTTGCATTTGTAGTGGTTCAGGAAATATAAGATGCAATTCATATAGTTAATATCGCGTGTTAATAAAAATACCAACTTATAGCCTATATAAATAGTTATTGACTGAAACTAGATGTACAGTAGGCCTCAGGGACTTACCCTGTCGAAAATAAAACGATTTGCAACTCGCTTGATTGTTCCAGCATCGACACTATCAATTCTGGAAAATAACTCAGCATATGGAATTCTGCGGCCATATGTGATTAACTGCAACAAAAAAGAAACTTACAGCTGTAAGTAAATTTAGTGATTTTAAAGGGAGGTGTTAAGTGACTAGAATGCAATCACGGCAATCCATTTGACTGCAAAGCATCCAGCAAACAGAACACGATCTGCTTTACTGAAGAGAGGAAATGTATCAACTATATGCAATGCTCCTACCACCTAGTCATCTAGGTTCCATTTATTTAAAGGAAAAGTGACATGGACAAACTTGAGCACCTTGACTATTTTACCAAATACCTATTACCTCCCACTAGGACAGGTACCGGATAACTCTTCCTACCAAAGTTTAGGTAGATGAAAAGAAATTACCTAGCTTCTTTTGCCTCCGCTAAGATTCTTCTTCTTTACTTATTGGTTGGCATTTGAGGGACGTATATTCCCTCTTTTTCCTTCTATAGCAGAGCCTTTATTTTATCTTACTTTATTTTTATGATGTTAGCAGAGCCTTGTTTGACGAAGTTAGGAACAAGGAGACTTAAAATATCCCAGATCTAAGGGAGCCAAACACTTGCTCCTGAAATTGTTTTTGGTTATAAATATATTCTATGTAATTTTACCTGCCGTCCAATGTCTTCAGCAGTAGGGCCTGATCCATCAATGTGGAGCATCAAAGAAGATTTCAGCTGCAGAAGATTAAGTACAGAAAATATAAGTTCTTGATACAGCTAAAAGGACATGCAGTCAACAGTAAAAGTCCCTAGAATTAAATGGAGGCAATAACACTCAGCTATTCCATTTGAAAAAGAATAGCTGGGGAGTGAACAAATACCTGATTACGTGCGCGAACCACATCAGCATCAGACACTTTGTAACTTAACTTGCATATACCATTCATGATGACATAAGCTAAGTCACTCAAGCAATCAGGCTGTAACAAGTAGAAAACAAGGATGAGTAAAGCCAGAGTCCTAATGCAGAGATTGCTTACATTGATTACAGAAATGCATAAATCACTTACCGAATATGATTTCATCACTTTACATTTCAAATTGTTATTTTTCTTTAATACGGCAAAAGTTGGAATTACATTTCAATTTGCTTTAGTATATTTCAGGAATGGCCTAACCTAGTTGTCAATTCACAAGAGAACAAATGAACATGATAACAAAAGTTTAGTGACCATAAGACCTTATACAGCAAATCACATCATAATACTAAGTTAATGAAACAGAAATAGTTGAGATTTGATTAAACAAAGGTCGTGGAAATTTCCTTCTAACCTTAGCTTCAGCATAGACACCAAACAGCCCTGTATCTTTATAGTTGGTGTTAAAAGCCATCACACTTTCAGCTAGCTCATTAATGGCCACCCTCTGGACAAGCTCTGAACTGTTCAAAGATCATATACCCATGAAAGATAGCAAATTCAGTAACTTCCTATTTTGTGGAGAAAAGAACTCAACTAAAATCTCCAAACAATACCCAGATATGCCTTTACATGGAACTAATAGATGAAGCATTAAGAATCAACAAATAATACTCCTATTGTCTTCTTTTTTTTAAGGGACACTCTTTGGCTGCTGGGTAGTAACTTCTCTTGATTCATAAAAAAAAATTAACTTTTGTTTGATTTAAGCAAATGAGAAGGACCAACCCCATGTGCTTTCCTCCTCCTGAACTTTTGTTCCATGATCCTAGCATTTGTTGCATGACCATCAAAGCTATGGAATCAGGGTCAGTCCATGACGCTCCACTAAATGCAACAGCAAATTGAGCGAGAGGCAGATCATCATCAATGATACGTATCTATTTATGTAGACGAAGAACAAAATCAGTAAAAAGGTTCATATAAAATACATAAACTAGAAGAGTTAATAACTAAGTAGTTCATCCACACCTCTGAACCTGTAAATATTGCTGGCTCTTCTGACACCAATTGGGAAGTGGTAATAGGATTAGATGATAGTTTTGTAAAATGTTTCTTCACTAGCTCAACAACTTCTTCATGCTTCACAGCTCCAGCAGCAGAAATTACCTACAGCAAAGACTTAAATGACGCTTTTAGTCTGGTAAAAGTTTGATCAAAAACAAAAACTAACAAAACATTAGTTTCCTTTTTTTCGTGCACACGGGATTTTTTTTATGCATTTGAGATATACATGACTAGGCTTGGAATGGAAGGTCATATGATACCACACTGGAAAACGATTGATTGTCATTCATTTGGATCAAGGAAGAGTAAAAGCGGGATCACTTTAATGTTTGCTCCTATAGAGAAGGTAAAAAGTAGAAATCATTTTGACATGACCCCAGATGGAATCAATAAAATTCAATTCGAAATAGAGTGTGAATCCCAGTAGTTTCTTTTTTAACAGAAGAAGCTAGTAAGCAAGGAAGTCGCCAACAGATAATGCATCAGCTATGACAGGTTCCGTACCATTCTATGAGCACCATAGTGGGTTGAAATGTAATCTTGAATATGAGCTCTTGTCATTTTCTCAATGTTCTGAGCAGGTCCAAGAATAGTTCTACCCAATGGAGTGTATTGGAATGCAGTAGTATGTAACTGGTCAAAGATGACTTCCTCAGGTTGTTTTTCCACCTACAAGAAGATTGTCCAACATGAAGACTCACAAAGATTGAGTTTCAATGAAAAATTTGCAAGTACAGATACAAACTCCTCAACAAAAATATAATTCTACAACAGATGAATTAACAGTGTAACATAACGAAAACCTACCTGACTCCACATGAACAAATACACCTGTTGAACAGATCTACAAGGAAATCCATGAAAGATTACATGGCCAACTAGGGTCACCCATCATTGGAGAAGCTAAAGAGGTTATTGTTTAGTCTGACTAGAGACAAACTAGGCATACCATTTGAAATCATTGCAGTTACTGACCATTGTCCTCATATAGAGCCAGAATGATTTGCAAGCAAGATAGCCTCTGAGCGGACAGCCCAGGACCACTTTAACACTGGGTACAGGAATGAAGATAGCAATAATATCAAATCCAAGAAAGAAAAAATATTGACCAAGTTACTGGCACTAAAATAGATGAAGACATCTACACTGTCAAAAATTCCCTTTCTTTTTAATCAATTTAACCATTTCATTAGCTAAGAATTTATTAGTGTCAATTTTCTATCCATTTATTTATTCTTTTGATTAATTGTAAATTTGCAAATTCCTCTACCAGATGGTTGTTCGCTACAGCCTTTCAGTCTCACCTAGTCTCTCCAGTGTGCAAAATCAGATATCTCAATATAAGTAAACATACTAGGCAATCAATTACAGACAGCAGAGAAATGAACGGAGGTATTATGAAAAGCATCAAATATAGCCTATTTCTGCACAGGCTAAAGTTAAAGATGAAATACCATCTTTCCAACCAGTCAAGAATCGAATAAAGGAACAATTAGTAATATATCATGCCAAATAAATTAGAAACTATGCACCTGCTGCTTAATCTAGCTCTACACCATAAAATTTGTTGTAATCATCATAGCACATTTTTATCTCACCGTAAATGGTCTCAAAATACTTTTCAAGGATTCTTTAGATAAAAGTGACAGCTTTCTCTGAGGTTGAAGACATTCACTTTGACAAAATCATTGTAAATGTCATCTTTAAACTACTGGCTCTGAAAGCTAAAAAGAGAGAATTGTCAATTAAAAGGAGACATTTTCTCAATTTTTGTTATACTATTGCAGCCGCTGAAGCAATTTAGATATTTGTACCCTGTCGAAGTAAGGAACCATGGCATATATGTTTGGAATAGATTTTTGCGCAGGCATAAAGATGTCTCCTTGTTTTATATGTCACTCGATGACTTGAGTATGAGCTTTTCCTTTCTTCAAGCTACCAACAAATGAACTATATACCATTTGATCCCTCTATGAGCTGCACTTACGAGCATAAAGTAGGCTCACTATATTCTAAACCACATTGGTGGAACAGGACACAAACTTCTGGTTACGTATCCTACTTAAGTAACGAGCTTCTTAACTAAATAAAAAATTACTCTAGATCATTAACTTCAAATGGATAACCAATTCATAGAGCTCCTACAAGTAGCAACTTCCTTCTTCCATCTGAATCACCTAAGCCTCTTAAGAACAGTTGCATTTTAATCATTTCAATCATACTTTCTTAAAGACAAGAATACCTTTTTGGTATATCTTAAGAATAATTGATACTCCCTCTGTTCCATTTTACATACATTGTTAATATTAGGGAATTCAACCAGTTTTTCCGTTAACTACATTTTTCTCACACACTTCCTAAATACCTTAATTCTAAAAGATTGTGATTTGTAGTACTAGTTTCTAATCAAGTAATGTCCAAATTGAAATTAGATACTTCTACTATACATTATGAATCAATAAAAATCATTTCTTTCTTTCCTTATACCTCTTCCATTTCGCGACGAATCACACTACGCTCTCGAATAATCTTATCTTCCTCCAATAGAGAATTCTGCAAAATATCCCCAAGAATATCAACTGCCTTAGGTACATCACATCCCAAAACTTTCGCAAAATATGTAGTTTGCTCCCTAGAAGTATATGCATTCAAATGCCCTCCCATATTCTCAATTTCCTCTTCCAATGCCCTAATTGGCCTCTTTTCAGTTCCTTTAAAAATCATATGCTCAAGGAAATGAGCAACCCCATTATTCTCCTCAGTTTCGAATCGCGATCCAGCATCGATCCAAACTCCAACAGTAGCTGTCTGTGAAGACAGATTCGATTCCGTAGCAATACGAAGACCATTAGGAAGAGTAGTGACTTTCGTCTCCGGTGCTGATAGGATTGAGGTGTGATCTGCTACAGTAGGATCGGGGGAATTGTACCTGAGGAATCTCTGGTTCGGGTCTTCGAGGCGTTTGATCTTCGATTTGACTTGTTCAGCTAAGCGATCGTAGATCATGGCGTCTGGGGGAGGTGGGGAGGGTAGGGAGGATGATTGGGAGGGCTTGGTTATGGAGGTGGAGGATCGGGAAGAGAAGGTAATACATGGTGGGAGAACGGTGAAGGGAGTGATTCGAGAGCGGCGGCGCGTGAGGTTGAGAAGGTGGCGCGTGGCCATGGTGTGTGATTGAAAGAGCCAATTGGAGTATAGAAAAATTTTGTAGTGACGGTGGAGAAGAAAGGAGGCTTTTAGGAAGGCTGGCAATAAGTATAAAGACGATTTTACCCTTTTACTAATTCTTAATTAACAAATTAGTACTCTAGAATTTATATGAAATATACCCAACTTCTTTTGACTTATGGCATAGAGGCCCCTCCTTTCACTATTTCTCACCGGACTCCGTATTCAAGAAGATTCGAACTCAATACTATGATTAAGAATGACAATTTCAAAAGTTGAGAACAATTTGCAACTCAAAAATTGGAGCATATTATACAACTCAGCTAAAAAATATCGTAAGAGCAAGTTTTGTTGAAACTTTTTATTTGAAAATCTTACACATGACAACATTTTGTAAAATGCCTATCTAGCCTTGGCATTCATTTTGCAAAAGGAATGATCATGGTGGTCATGCATGCATCAATTGATAGGATCTACCTCCGGGTTGGTAATCCAAATCCACAATCAAGTTATGCATTCTTGATTATAGGAACTATCATGATTTCGATTCTAATCAGAGTGGTCATGTATGCATTATAATTACCTGATAGGATTTATCTCCGAGTTCGTCTTATTTGATCAATCGATCATAAGCCAGTAGAAACTACTTGATTGTGGATTTCGATTCTAATCATGGTGGTCATGTATGCATTATAATTACTTGATAGGATCTATCTTCGAGTTCGTCTCATTCGATCAATGGATCATAAGAATTACTCATGTAACGAACTTGGACATGTAATTGACTGACCTACATAACTACTCATTCAGTATATTTCGACCCGTTTAGTTCAACACATAAAAAAAATTAAATTTATATATAGTTCAAATCACCTTGTCAAAAATAGTTCAAGGTGGCGTTGTCATGTCAATAATAACAAAAAAAGGGTGCACAATTACCATGGTACATTCTTAGTCAATCATTAATAAAATTTCCCTTTCTATCTATAAAGATAACCTTATTTTTGTTGCATATCAATATTTGTGAACTCAATTATTTTGGGTCTTGAATAAGAAGGGAAAAAGAACCTACTTATTGTCTTATATATTGTCGTTGGCTCAAATTAATTGTTATGTTTTTGTTTTTCAAAAGTTAATTTGATTAATAAGAAGGGAAAAAGAACTTACTTATAATTGTCTCGTGACAATTTAATTAAATACTTTTAAATGTTGATCAAAGTTCACATAATTGACTCTCCAGAATAAAACATGACAACTCAAATATTAGAGACATTAATATTATGCAAAAGAGACTCTCCAGGGTGGTCCAGTGGTTTGGGCTTGGGATTTCCATGTTGGAGGTCTCGAGTTCAAAACCCCTTGTCAACGAAAACAAGGGGTTTGCCTTCTGGGTTGAGCTCGTCGCATCAGGCTTGTCTAGTGCGGGTTACCTTTCCAATGTGGTTTGCGAGCTATTGCATAGGAGCAGAGTTTTACCCTGATTTTTACTTGTTCATATTTGACTTGACATATTCCTTAACTAAATAACCCCTATAATTATAAGTAATCTAAATATTAGAAAATGAAAAATATTTAATAATAAACATAAAGTAGAAACAAAATGATAAACTATCTTTTGATTTTCTAAACTGAATAAGTAAAATTAAATGATTTTTTAATACACTAATAAATAAAAATCAACAAAAGGAATAATAATAATAAAAATAATTCAACCAAATTACTCTCTGGGTGTGCATTGGTTTGGTTCGGTTCGGTTTTATGTATTATCGATTCGGTTTATCGGTTTTTGAATATGCCAAATCAATAGCCAAATCAATAACTTTTCTAATAAATTTGACGCGACAAGATAATAATGTAACTTTGCAAATGCTCATAAAGTAAAACAATAATAAGAAACATGAAAAGAACTATACAAATGTAACACAAAGAGAAATTAAGAGGAATACAATTTTTACTTTATGTTTTAACGGTTTGAATAATGTGAAGTCGTGAATTCAAAGTCACAGTGAAGTATGAATTGAAGGCAAATGACAAAGTTAGAAGTAGTAAGACATTGAGATTAATATTTAATATTTATGTATAAGTAAAAAATAGTAAATTACTATAATCGTAATGGGTTATCACTTTACCCAATAAACCAATATAAAAAATCAATACCGAATCAATACTCCAATAATTTTTTTAAATATAAAATCATTAACCCAATAATCCAATAACAATAAATCAATAACATTTTTTTGGTTCAATTTATCGGTTGGTTCGATTTTTATACACCGCTATCTCTAGTTATTACGTATTTTTTAAGAAATTTATAAAATAAAACTTGACAAGAATTTAAAAGCGGAAGAATTGGTGGGCAGTGACAGAATCAAATTGCGTGCTTGTTGGGGGCTAGTGGGGCTATAAGATCTCCAAGTTAACATAGGACACTTCAAATCCCAATATCACAAAAAAAATAAGTTATTAAATGCAGATTTTTGGAAAATAAATAAAAGATATTCTATATACAACCATTTATCAAAATGAATAATAGCATTAAACAAAGAGTTGACTAAGTAATAAAACATATTCTAATTCTGTTTTATACTACTTAATTCATGTTGACTTGATAATAGTGATATATTTTATTAAATTAACTTTACTAATAATTTGATTATTATTATTTTATATAGTTTAATACTAAAAAGTAGTATAAGAAAAAAAATAAACAAACTCACTTAATTTGCAAAAATGTACAAATAATTTTATAGAGTTTGGATAAATAAATAAAAAAACTTTTAAACTCTTATTTTTAAGTTAAAATAACACAAATTAGTCAAAAATCATAAATTAAAATTTTCAATTTATAATTTTTGAGTTATTACTCTTATAAGTTAGTATAATAAGTTCATCCAAACACACTCAGTTAAAACTAAAACAAACACATTATGATGTCATTAACTCATTTATATTATGATGTCATTATAAGTTTCTAATAGGAAGAATTAAATTCTAAAATAGTTTTTTTTTTTTTAAAGTCTTTCTTTATTAAATATCAATAAATCAAATGGATCTTGACCGTTTAATTTTGTTAAAGAACGAATAATCCTCTAAAGATTACACGTTTACCCTTTTTTTGTGTTTTTTTTGGCTTATTTCTCACAATTTTTGCTTTTATGCATGGAATTCTCCTTCAACTATATAATAGCACACAAATAAAGTGAAAGAAAAAGAGAAAAAGAAAGAGTCTTTGGCTTGTTCTATGGCAATTTCTGTTCAAAGATTTGATTTTTTTGATCTTTTTTTAGTTTTTTCATATGGGATTCTTGAAAAAATGAACATTTGAGCAAAAGGGTGTTCTTCTTTCGATGTGTTTTGAGTGTTTTTCTGTGTGACAGACTCAGATTACATAGATATGGTATTCAAAGATTCATTCTTTTTGCTGTGGGTCTGTTTTTTTACTTCCCAAAAAGAGTACCCACATCTGACTAGTTTTAATAATTGCTAATCTGTGTCCCAACCCTAGTAAGGCCAAGTTTTGAGCTTTTTCCAAGTTTTGTTTTTTATTTGATCTGGGGTTTTGGATTTTTGGGTGTTTGTTGAAACGTGTCATTGTGGGTATATATGATTTGAGCTATCAGGATTGTTTACTTTGCTGAAATTTTAACTGAAATGGAAGACGATCAAGATTTGAAGTTTGTATGTAAGTTGTGTGACAAAAAATTCCTTTGTGGGAAGTCATTAGGGGGTCATATGAGATCTCATGTAGTTGAGGAAAATGGTGAAGGAAATGCTGAGAAGTTTGAATCTTGGGGTAGTAGAGAAAATCCCCATCAATCAAAATTTGATGTTGGTGGTCATTCTGGTTATGGACTTAGAGAAAATCCCAAGAAAACTTGGAGAGCTGTTGATTCAACTTTTTCACCTTTGCCTCCTCAAGAAAGAGTTTGTCAGCAATGTGGTAAAGTGTTTCAGTCAATGAAAGCTTTGTGTGGTCATATGGCTTGTCATTCAGAGAAGTTAGTGATGGATAGTCATTCAGATACTGAAACTGATGATGATGATGAGGAGGAGGAGGAGGAGGAGACAAAGATGAAGACCAGATCATTAAAGACTAAGAGGTACAAGAGACTTGTAGTTAAGCCTTCTAATTACTGTTTAGTGAATAATAATAATAGTGTTGTCAATTATGGTTCATCATCTGTTTCTGAGATTGATGAACTAGATCAAGAGGAAGTTGTAGCAAAGTGTTTGATGATGTTGTCTAGGGATTCAGGGAATTGGAATGGTGTTAATTCAGTTGTTGAGTCTTCTGATAACAATTCTGTTGTTTTGGAGACAAAATCATCCTCTACTGACATGAAATTTGGTAGAAAGGATAGGCTGAAATGTGTTTATAATCAAAATGAAACACCGGGAACTAAGAAACTTAGTGGTTTAGATGTTGATCAAGCTGAATCTGAGAGTTCTGATTCTGGATACTTTTTAGATGACAATACTATAGTTGAATCGGATATATCTGTCGATGGATTCCATAGAAATGGGAATAGTAAATGGAGCACTTCTCAAATCAGCCATGCTGTTTGGTGTGATGAGTCTGGGGCTGATAAGGGGAAGGGGTTAAACAGAACCAAGAAATATCCAACAGAGTCAAGGAAGGATTTAACCGCGGAATGTGAATATGATGATTACGCGATAGCTTCATATATGGAAAAATGTGAACCAAGAAAGAGAATGAAGGATAGTTCTTATCATCCAGAATTAGGGAATAAGTCCGTTAAGAAGATAAAGATCGGTCCTAAAAGTTCTGAAGGATGCAATACTATTCAAAAGAAGTATGAGTGTTTGAACTGCAAGAAGAGTTTTAACTCTTATCAGGCTCTTGGTGGACATAGACCATGTCATAAAAAGGCCAACGCCTATCTCGAGTCAATAAATGGAACTGGTGAAAGTAGTGTCGATGCTAATTGTGATGACAAGAATAGAGAAACATTTAGCAGTAGAAAACCAGCTTCTACTGCTAAAGACCAGTCTTACAATCCTGAGAAAACGATTAAGCCTAAGAAATCCCAAAGGCATGAATGCCCATTTTGTGACCGTGTTTTCAAGTCTGGTCAAGCTTTAGGTGGCCACAAAAGATCTCATTTTATTGTTGGAACTGAACAGAACATGAATCGATCTTCAGCAGTCAAGAAAGTCGATGATTTACTTGATCTTAATCTCCCTGCTCCTCTTGATGATGACGATGATGAGCATGCACACCTTGTGTCTTGGTAGTTGGTGATAAACAAGGTTACAAGATGCTTGAGTATTTGGCAACGAGCTCGTTTCCAGATTGGCAGAGACAATGCTAGAATGTATAGGCAACTTGGCAGGCAGAATTGCTTCATTATTTTGATACCATAGAGATAGTAGTTTTCATTCTTGCTGATTAGTTGAAAGAACCTCACATTTCAGTCTGATTTTTGGCATATCCAAAGCATATGCTTAAATTTTAGCTGGTTAAAAATATTCATTTCTTTAGCTTTGAGACATTCAAATTATATCTGTCTTTTCTTGTTAATTAGCTTATTCGAAATGCCTAGTGATATCTTTGGTTTTGCCCTTTGAAGAAGCTTATCTATATTGTGTACTTCTTGAATAAATTGTCATTCCCAAAGTTACAAAGTTCACCAAATTGAAGGAAATCACTATCTTCACTTAAGATGCTATATATCAACGTTAATACACCAGATATCCATCAGAACTCCGAAGTTAAGCAAGCTTAGATAAGAGTAGTACTAGGATGCACGACCCCTAGAAAGTTCTTGTGTTTCATCCCTCCTTCAACACTTGTGGGATTATACTGGTTACGTTGTTGTTGCTGTTACACCGACTTCACTTATAGCAGGTGCAAGTAGCAATGTTCAACCACACTAACACAAGATTTATGATTGTTTTTAGTTTGAAGTGGAAACAAGTAAAAATAATAGTCAACTACTATAACATAAGACTTAGTAAAATTCTACTACTTTTGTTGTTTAACATCTTAATTTTTGGGACACCCCCTTTACTATTTGAGAATTTTACATAACTTAGACTAAAGTAACAAATCCATTTTTAACTCGTCAAATTTCTGACATCAGATTATGACATGTAACTCATCAGTGTACCTATTCTCTTTCTAGTAAAAAAAAATTATTGGTTGAGAAAGATTTAAGGAGCACAAAAGTAGGAAATGGAGGTAAATGCATACTTTGTGATTGTCCACTAATTTTTCCTGGAATTTTAGTAGATCTCATCAAAAGTTAAGAAGAGCTTCAAATATTAGCCTAAAAATAAGCTAATTATTTTTATTTATATGCAGTCGCGCAAAGTTAGGAGTTTTGCGTGACTGCATTAAGTTTGGTAATTATTTAGATGCTTTGTATAAAATTCAACTCACCAAGAATGGTGTTTGATTATAGTTTTACAATCCTATATAAATAGAATACACAGAAGTTATGAGTTAATTTTTATATTATTTTATATAAAATAAAAAATAAAACAATTAATCTCTATGTAACTAGTATCCACATAATTCTAACCAGCAACCAAATTATTTCTTAGTTCCTTTGTTCTGCAAAATCAGTTGGGCCTTTTGTACCAAAACGGAAAAAAGAGCCCACTAAGTTCTTTGTTGTTTGTCTGATGGATCAACCAATGGCCCAATGAAGAGTCACAAGTTTGAGTCTCATGAGGTTGTTTGATTGGAAAACAAGTTATCTTAAAACTGTAGTACCGAAATTATAGTACTAGGATTATATAATAATGAAGTTAATTAGTGATATATTGTTATTGAGAGATGTTTGGTTCATTGCTTCTCTGATTCGTATGAAATTTAATACGATTTGAAAAAAAAACCTATTTCCTTTATTAATAGAGATAGATGAGCTCCTTGATGAGTGGATGCACATACTTGAAGGAGAAAAACAAAACAAAACATTAGATGCATAATTTAGTAGAAAATATGACAAGACAAATAATTTTTCATTTTGGCACAACTTTAAGAGTTATATATTTTTGACATGATGATAAAAGCAAGTAAGAGATTATTTCCCTATTTTCGATAGTGAACTAATTATATTATCCTCAATTATGCATATGTCAATCAAAGACATTATAACTTTATTAGGTAGCTAATTTTGTGGTCTTGTATTTAGAAGCTTCCCTTTTAGGTTAATTATTGTCATAATTTGGTATTAGTTTTAAATTTTAAATTTTAGACTTACACAACTTTTGAATTTAAACATAATCTTGTTTTGGAGAAATGGCCAAACTTCTAACATGAGGCGTGAACTCCATCCGTTTGAACATACATTTAGATATTAGGACAATTTTTTCATCTTTCATCAGTTAAAACTGAAAAACACTCGATATGCGAAGTCGCGAACTATAAAATAAACACATCATTCTTTATCACTTATTCTGATTTAGTTTGATTCTTTTGGTGTAAATTTTATCTTTGTGCTTTTTTAAAAAGTTGATTTATAAAATCAAGAGGTCCGTCGGTTATCTTAAATCAAACCAACATATTTCAACATTGTCGAGTCTGTTGGTTTTATCAAAAAGTATCGAACGGTCCGTCAATTTTTTGACCCTCGATTGTTTATCTATTCTTTTTATAGTGAATGATAAATAGTCCTTCACTCTTAACCAAATATCTTGAATTCAAACTCAAGTGCTAGACATGAAATCTCCATTAGTGGTTACTGATCAAGCTAAAAATAAATGGAAGACCTAACTTTTAATTATTTTTGAGATGCAATTTTTTTTTAATAAAAAACTTTATCTATGGTCTTATATATATATATATAATGTACCAAAATATTTTTTAATCTTGTGGTTTTAAACATATCACGTGGAAGTTAAATTTAAAAGTTGACAAAAAAGAACGAAACATTTTTCAATATTTCAAAACGAAGTAAAAAAAAGACATAATATACAAAAAAAATTGTTAAAAAGTGCTTATGTAAATTTGGGGGTCTAAGGCGGATACCTTATTTCTAAAGGTATTGAGTCTCCCTTGAACGGTTAACGCTTTACCTCAAAATAAAATATCGAACACCAAATAAAAAAATTTGAAAGGAGTAACAAACAATAATGTGTGTGTACTTCACGCATGAATGTGGAAAGTGGTGAGAGATATATATGTACAGAAATTGTGTGAAAACGACAATAATAAGATAACGTAGGTTACAAGGAAAAGGTGAATTATAATATAAAGTTTTTATATTATGAAAAAGAAGAAAAAGGGATATGGTAAAAGGTAAACGTCAACTGACAATAGAGCAACTTAGAAATCCACGCAATTACACAATGCCGCCCAAAATATACCCTAAAAAGTAAAATCTACGACAAAAAAAAAGTAAACTACTATAGTAAAACCAAAAAAATATCTCCGTTTAATTTACGTGATATATTTTCTTTTAAGTTGTTAGAATAAAAATAGAATATTGTAATAATGTAGCTTGATGTTATTGGGTCAAGCTCAGTCCAATATTAATGTGTTGAAATTACTAAAATTATAACAACCAATAAATATGAAACTAAATGAATAAACAGAGAGTTTAACGCTAAGAATCTTAAAAATGGAACCAAACACTAAAGCACATGAAATGTCATTTTTGGTGAATCATTAACATGTAGAAGCCTTTTAGATAATTGTTGCCTGTAGGTTTGATATATATAATTTTGTTATGTAGTCTTGATTAGGGAGGTAAAATTGTTCGATGCCATAGCAAATATTTGGGTTCAATTTCAAATTACTATATTTTCTTAATTTATGTTTATGAAAATTCGAAGGACAAAAATTATATAGTCTGTCAGTTTTTTTTAAAATCGATCCCTCATTTCCAACATAATCAAAATCATCAATTTTTGCTTTAGGTAAAAGTTAAAGCCGTCTATCGATCTTGATCCTCGGGGATTATCCGAGCTAATGATAGAGGCAAGAACACTTTCTAGCCAAGTCCAATTAATTGATCATAACGATATCATGGAAATGCTAATTATTGTAGGAATGGCTTTATCCCATACAAATTGAGTCCAAGCTTGAATGCCCGTTTAATTTCTTATCAATTCCCAACCAGCTTTGAGAATAAATGACTCACTACAATTCTTTTTCTTTGATATTTTTTTTAGTAGTGTTAATTAATACATTACACAAATTAAAACAGAAATATAGCAAATTGAGCTATTACTGTCACAATGGCAATGTAATTACAACGTTAATTAGGTCAAATTTTTCACCCCCCCCCCCCTCCCCCCAAATGACCAATCCCAAACAACAGAAAGTTGAAAAAAGGGGAAACTCTACAATTATATATCTAGAGCTGCTATATATATCCAAGGGTTCTCCATTAATAAGTCATGATTCCTATATCATGATCAGCAAAAAATATAAAAGTTAGCTATAGCTAACTTCATTTAAAATAGAGGGTTGATTCCAGCTACATTCAAGAATGACATCCATGCTTTATAATATATACCTGGAAAAGTGTTTTTTTTAGGGGGAAAATCATCAAAAATGTGAAAAATATTAGATTCAAACCCATAATTATAAAATATACAATATTTTCAGTAAATAAAAGTTGAACTCATCAAATATAAATCTTGTATCACTTCGACGAAAGAGCATACATTTGTCTAGGACCTTTTCACATTTATCGATATTTATTCATCATCCGAAATCCAATAAGTCTTCTTACTTTCTTAAATTTTGTACAGAGTCAAAACATGACAAACAGATTGAAACGGAGAGAGTATATTAAACTAACCTTTGTCGTTCAAAACTCTCCAAAAACATTACCACATACTCGTGTCAGATTTTCCAAACAACACATTGTTTTTTGAAAGATCCAGCACGCATTTCGCTAATATTTTTGAAGAGTTCAAACAAACAAAAATGAGAATATTTGAAGCATAAGAAAACTGTATGATCACATGTTATATAGATACAAAAATCTGAAAGAATATTTGCATAATATCTCAAAAACAATTAAAAGCATGATCATGTAGGACCACACATCTTAAAAATATGCTTCCATTTACTCAGACAAGCGTGACTTATTCTATTACTTGTGCATGCTTTGCATGAGATGTGTAACATCAACCAAAGCAATATTTCCCTTTAATTATTTGGCATGCTGGCTAGCTACCTGCTAAGGGAGCGCCATTGCCACCTTCTTTGGTTTCTGATTCTTAAAGCCCTATGGCCAAATTGATGTACTATAACAATCACAAATTCGGTTCTTGTCAAACCTAAACCCCACTAACAAAAGGAAAGTCCCTTTCTCTGTTTCATTTTATGTGAAGATATTTAACTAAGAATTTTGTGCCATGATTTTTG